CCCCAAAACCCCAAAACCCCAAAACCCCAAAACCCCAAAACCCCAAAACCCCTATCAAACTTAATTATATTGAAAATTATAGGTTATAATTTTTATCACTGTTGACGCGAAAATGCTATGGTTAACTCAAAAACAAGATGGAGTCTAGTTCTCACTACATTTACTCAGTTTATCAAGGATACTTTCGACAAAAATTAGAGAGGAATCCTCATCAAAACTTTCCTTTCTGAGTGGAAAGAACAGCTCTTGGATGCTCTCTTTGGAAGCCACTACAGTATTATTGTTAGCCTGGTACCTTTACAAAGGGAACTGTCTATCTCAGTTCAGTTGATAGAGTCTTGTTGGGCCTTACCCAACTGTTTTTGAGATTTCTTGGTGTTAAAAGGATCTAAAATCAAATTTAGAGGCAGCCTAGAAGTTTTTTGGCAAATTTTGGGCGGTTAAAGTGAGTTTTTATGAGGGGCTTTGGGGGTTTGAAGATACTTACTTATTTTTAAGAGAGTATTTCTGGACTCAAGCTCTTTCTTACGATGAGTTTTGAGGATCTTTTGAGTGAGCGTTGCGATGTTCTAGAGCAAAGTTAGAAAAATTATGGTTGGTTCTTCAACTAAGATATTTTCAAGTAAATAAAACTTTCAATAAAACCAAAAACTTACATTATCGCTAGCATCGATCTCTTCACCAATATCATCTGGGTAAGTGATCTCTGAGTTTATTTCAGCTTCGTATAAATTTTCTACAAAAATATGATAAGGGTTATTCAATACAGGACAAAACTAGAAATAATAGAGGGTCCTTTAGTGAGCTAAATCATACCTTTGAATTTATCAAACTCATCATCGGAAAGACTCAGAGTCTTGGAAAAATCAGAGTCAAACTGATCAATTATGCTCTGCTTTTCAATAGGTTCTGGACTCAGATCAGTGACTCATTCTTTTGATTTATCTATATATCAAATTAATCTTCAAAGAGGAGTCTTTTCAACAGAAATTATAATACAGCTGGGAAAGGCATATAATCCCTCCAGCTGAAGAATTCTAATAAACCAGAGTAGTCAGCCTTTAGGCTGGCTACTTTTGAATGAAAATAAGGATTTAATCCTAAACATACCAGCCTCTTCACCCCTCTTCGCAGTGTAAGGAAATCACAACGGTGTTGCATTATTAGTGAAAGCTTCAATAGAGTTGTTATCTATAGATAGTCATAGAATTCGCTTAAAAAAGGTCCTTACCAGTCGTATAAAACATTGAAGACTTTGCCTCGTTCTTATTGATGAGGGTAATACCTAGAGAAACGATTAGAGAGGATCAATGAAATACATTCAAGAATTTGAAGAGACATACTAGCTTTCTTTATTCGCTTCGGCTGATCAGGAGAGCTATTTTGAGCTGTGTTCTGACCATAATGTGACCTATTACGATAGATACTCTGAGGCATGCTTGCATTGTTCGCTTTACAACTATCAGCCCTCTTATTTCCAGTTCAGTGAGGTGATGTCTATCACACAAACAGGCTTGTTCTTCAATGCAACGCTGTTTTTCTTGTGGTAAATGGAAGAAAATTTGCGAGTGCTAGGCAACCTTGGAAGTTTTGGAGAGGAGGTATGTGACTGAGAGCAAATTATTTTGCTAATCTTCTTCTTTCGAACTAAAAACACATGAAAAATTCAAACTCTGAGCAATAAAAACTAACAGAAAGCCAAAATCACCAGAACCTATTACAAAAATCATCAGTTAATTCCACCAAAACCCCTTTCACAAGCCGCACCCCTGCTTACCACTCATCGCTTTCCTCGCATCTCCTTCATCATAAACCATTCGTTTCTCCCTGACTCATTTCGCGAAGTACCTACACAAAGCTTTAACCTTTGACCCCAAATTGCCCTTTATCAGTTATAAACAACTCTTAAACGACAATTCCTTCTAACTGCCACTGTTAACCATTGGACTAATTTGACTCCAAGAAGTGGCCTCAAACTGGGCTGCTGACCCAGCCAGCCTTGGGTGGCACCTAAGCTTGGCTGAGACTCACTAGATATACAGATAGAGAATGAACCATATGAGCTTAATGCAGAAAATAGCTCTAACTGGAATATTGACACAAAAGAATAGGTTAAGGCGAGTCAGAGCGGAGATAACTGTGGGTTAAGGTACACAAGAGAATCTGACCATAGAGAATTTAGCCTATGCGTTTATTTTAGGAACCCAGAAGTGTTTACTTGTTAAAGTTAAAATAGAGACTGTAAATAAAGTATCCCAGTCAAGTTACAGAAACTGCTACTGTTTGGAGATATTTATAAAGCAAAAACCCGAGATACTAAAACTCTTCCTTAAATATCTACTATCTTATCATTACTTCATCTCAAAGAGGACCTATCAGAATTTGACTAATTGTTGGATTTCATGAATCTAATATTTCTTTTAAACTGAATATCTGATTACTTTTCAGCCCAATCAAACGTAAATAAAATTAATGATAAAATCATATGCTTCTCCCACTTCTACATGCCCAATCTCTAGCAGAGATATTCACTCAAGAACCTGACTGCCAAAGCCAAGATTAATTTGAGTACAAATTAAATAATCACGAATAAAAAGATATTCCACTACTCTTTAAGCTCAAGCCCAACACTCTAAGCAACCCTGCTCTTGTACAAATCCAAAATACGAGTAAACTCCATTACTTAGCCATAACGATAGCATTATAAGCTCTCTACATTAAACCCCACAACATCATAATAACTCCCCTATGTATTGTAGAACTCGTCTTACTTCACCCACTTCAAAACAAGCAAAGCGTTAGTCTCAGAACGTTCTACCTAGGAAGAAAATTGTTGGTAACTAATTCTAATAGCTATAACCTCTTTAAAAGTGTGCACAGATCTCTAAATGAGGTTAAGGTTTCAAGTTCCTACTTGTACAGTGATAAGCACCAAATCGTGTAGATTTAAGCAAAATTAGCCGTTTTGTAGTATAAAAATAGTGAGATTCCAATAGGAATAGACTAAGGATAGAAGAATGCAGAGCAAATATAGTGCATGTCAGTTGTAAGAAGGGAAGGACTTACTCTTTGGTCACTTGGGCTGGTCTTTGAACCTCCATTTCTTTGGAAATATTTATTGGAAATTAAAAATGAATATTAACAATAGATTAATATTTAAAAGGGGTTTTGGGGTTTTGGGGTTTTGGGGTTTTGGGGTTTTGGGGTTT